TGGATTTGCAATTTTGTGTGCAAAATTGATAATTCACTCAGTGACCCAGTTGTGATGTCATCATTTTTATGTAGCATTTCATTGCTGTCTGAAAAAAAGTATCTTAATGTTTGTTGATTTTTTTTTTTGTACATCATTTCGACATGGCAGCTGCTCTTTATATTTTCATGATGAATGGACTTTCTTCATTAACTTACATTTAAAGAATGTTTTTGCCTTGCCATTTTGGAGATACTTGTTTTATGATACATAAAGTCTTTGTATAGGGGGCCTCAAATTTTTCTATAGCCTAGGGCCACAAAACTGCATAATCCAGCCCTAGCTTTACAGTTGGGCATTAGACTTGGTCCACCACTGCTCTTCACATGTAGTTTGAGGAATTGCATGTGCTTTTGAGAAAATAAGAACTCTGATCTAATTGTTTTGACACATTATTATTTTTCTGCAGTTTGAATGCTGTCTCCAAGCTGGAATTGATTTAAATGCTAGAAGCTCACTGGCAGTATCAACTGGACAAATTTAGCCACAGCTATGGAACTGGTCCCCCTCCTTTTAGGACAGCAGAGCATGTTTTGAATGCGCGGTAGTTATTTTCTTCAAATCAAATAACCACAGAATCATGACAAGTCAGGACTTGCTGTCTTGTTTTTTTTTTCTTCACAAGGCCTGTTCAGCCTTTCTGTGTTTGTCTTCCCTATTCCCCAGTGAGGTCCAGAGATCATTACAGAACTCACAATCCCTGGAACTGGGTGAGACTCCTGCCAACCCGCGCATGTTTTTGTTTCACAATTAGACCCCTGTGTGTTGATGCAAATGGTGCACAGTCTCACTTTTTAGAAGTCGCAAATGGGGTTCAGCAAGTATCTATACTTGGGCCTTTGTGTATTAATGAGGCTGATGAATTAATTGAAAAAGTAGAGTGCATTTTTATTCTGATGACACAGTGATTTATTCTTGGATCTCTCTGAGACTTTTGTGCCAGAGAAAAAAATCAGAAAGGTTTTAACTTGATGCAGAAATCCTCTTGGGTCCTAAGACTTCTGCTTAATGAAGGAAGGACATGCTACTCTGGATTCTTTCAAGTTCTCTTGGCATAATATGTGCACCATGAAGCTGTAATGAATATGGAGTTGCCTACAAATATTTGGATATTTAGACTGATAAGAAGTTGTAATTTAAAACATCCTTCTACACTAATAAAATTCCTAGGTTCCTGGCATAAGAGTATATTCCTAAGAAAATCCTTTAATTGATATATGCTCAGTTCTTTAAACTTCACACTCGCACATCTCATTTACATCATGCTACAAATAACTGACAACTCTTTAGATGTTACATAAAGCTTGGTAAGATCAAATGATGCTTGATCTCTAGGCTATAGGCCTCCTCCATCTTTCTCTCTCTTAAAAGAACTGTACACTCAATGGCCACTTTATTAGTTACACATACCTTGTGTCTACACTCTTTGTCCATTTTATCGGGTCCAGCTACCATATACAATGCTGCTCATAAGTTTACACAGCCCTGGCTGAATTCCTACCACATTTACCATTCTGAAGAATGGTGAGTGATCATACAAAACACATTTCTTTTATTTAGTAATAGTGCTCAGCTATTTATCATCACATTTGCTTGCAGTATATTAATTATAGTAATAAGTGAAATAAGTCAGTCAAAAGTTTCTTTACCCTCATATGTTGGGCCTGTTAATATGCACTCAGGTTCACTAAGATCACTGTGAAGGTGAAGAGAAAAGTTGGCAACTTAGCGACTTTAGCCATTTTTTTGTTTTCCAAAAAAGCACCTAGCAACAAATCTAGTGACATTTTGGGCAAACCTTAGCTGCTTTGCATAGAAGGGAGTTGCCAGTAGTGCCCCGTGGGTGAAAGGCACACCTCTCTCTGCATCTGCTCTGATCAGCGAGTGGCAGAGAGGCGGTGCAGCACATTCAGTCCGCATGGCAGCTGTGAATGAAGAGTGTTGCCAAGGATCAATGACTAATCAATGCTGTTTGCTCCTCCTTTGTTTTAATCTAAACAATTTAATTTGATTGTTTTGACTTATCACTGTGTTATCACTCATTGTCACACTGAAAATGGAGCATCCTTCTTGTGGTTTGTTACCCAGATGGAGGCTGGATTTGTCACTTTGACTTTCTTTCTGAGTGATATTTTACATGTAAATATAGATAAAATCACAGCACAGCCGTTGTCTTTAAATTATGTCTGTGGTAAATTTGTCAGGCAACATTGCAGTTACACACACACACTTTTTAAGCCACTTATCCTGCTGGGTCATGGGGGGTGCTGGATACCAGCGCTCATTGGGCAGAAGGCAGGAAACATGCAGGTTGCCAGTCCATTACAGGGCAGGCACAGACATATACATTCACACACACTGAGGCATCTCCAATTCACCTGACTGTATGTCTTTGGACTGTGGGAGGAAACCCATGCAGACTCCACACAGAAAGGACCCTGGTCACCCAGCTGGGGAATCGAACCCAGGTGACTGCTGGTTAACATGTAGTCTTAAAGGGCCCCGTTTCAGCCACTGTTTCATACTCGTCCCACTATCTGACTACAGAAACAATAAAATATGTAAATGTGGACAACTTTACTTGGAGTTTGTATTATTTAAAAAGTGTGTTTTGTATATTTGAGGGAAATTTATTTGGTATATTTGGTCCAAGACTGCTCTGAATTTGCTGGACACTAAACTTTGGACAAAGTAAACTTACTGGAATCTATAAGCAGAATAAATTAGGAAAAAGGTTATAAAAAGATCTGAAAATGCAAATCAGCACTATTTAAAGTCTGATGATAAAATGGAATACCTGTGGTTCTATGGATACCAATCCAAGATCAGGTAGAATAATAAAACCCACTAGCAGCTTCTAATCAAATACAGTTTTCTCTGAAACCAAGTGGGGTGGCTGTTTCAGAGAGTACAGTAAGGAGATACGTAAACAGAAACAGGCTGCGTGGTGGAGCCAGAAAAAAGCTATTTTTGCAACCACACCACAAAACAGCCCTCTTGTAATACACTAAACAGCATCTAGACTTCTGGAACAAAGTAATTCGGAGTTATAAGACAAATATTGAACTTTACGGTCCCCACCTAATAAGAAAGGAGTCAGCAAGGCTTATGAAGATAAACTTATCTTCTCTACCACTGTTGTGCTGAGAATGAACCACCAGTCCCCTGCTTGGTGGTCCTGACCACTGGTTAATGGGGGCTGACAAACTGTGCAGAGAAACAGATGGACAATCTGTAGTAGAACCACAAAATGCACCTAAATGGTAAGCGGAGTTGGTAAAACGGACAATGAGTGTAGATGCAAGGCAGGTGAATCTTATGAAGTGGCCAGCGTGTGTATAAGAATTCTCTGTTGATTTCAGGACAAATGTGTATAACCAAAACAGTACATAAAGACAGTTTTCTTATTTCCTTAATTCATCACCTCCCATGATGAAATAGGATGTTATTAAATTGCCCTGTGTGCGTCCATCTGTTCGCCATTTAAAATGTAAAGATGCTGTAAAATTCATAACTTAGCATAAATTGAGAGTGTGTCTTTTTGCTCAAGTAAAACGTACAGAGAGGGTGTCTTTTGTCCCAGTATTTTCATGCATTTATCTGCTTAAGTATCACTCTCTTCAACCATAATGGGTGCTTTATAATGTTTGGGTTGGTTTTTGTGGATCTTCTGAGTAAAAATCAAGTGATGTTTCTTAGACCGTTAACATTTCAAACGTAACATCAGAAGTTGTTTGCACTATGCAACCTCAGAACAGTATCTAGTGAGTTAATGAGCTAATATTATATATATATATATATATATATATATATATATATATATATATATATATATATATATATATATATAACTGTTAAATGGCTAGATACATGCAAAGCAAGCTAACATTATTTATGTATGTGATAAGTTGCACAGCAGCTACCTAACATCTGATAAGTTTTTTGCCTTTGAGTTTAAAAGACAATAAAATGGAATTTGGTCATTGTTTAGTCTGGTTACTCCTGTTTTTCCTTTGACATTTAGGTTTGAGGTTTAATAACAAACCTATTAAAGAACCATCAGCTTGTGAAGACCCACTGTGAGTTCCTTTAAGAACAATTTAAGAGTTATTTGGTTCCTGTTGGTACCACTTGGAACTTTTATTTTGAAGAGTGAACACTTTCTTTACAAAACTGTAAATCATACTGAAAGGGAGGAAACTTACATGACTTGTACTGGTTGGTGGTTAGTTAGAGAGTATGTGACTATTCATAGTCTGTGACTAGGACTTTTTTTGAAACTTGTGTGTTTCTTCTGTACTGCACTTAAATGTGTAATTGGTGACCCATTTTAATCCTTCATTTTTTTAATCTTTATTTTAATCTTTATGCTACACATAAGGTTTTTATTTCAGTATTTGTTAGCCTTATTCAAGTAACGCTAACACTGTTTAAGATATGCAACTCAGTTTTAAATCTTTAGTCTCAGTTGAGACAAGCTGCATAAAGGTTTATATCAGAATTAAGTATGAGTCTCATCACTTTATTCTCTGGATATATATTTACTAGAACGTAGTTATGAATTTCTCTATTATTTGTTATTATTTCTTTTTGACACGTCTCATGAGTCTCTCTTGGGGGAGAGGAGATGAAATGTCTGTTTGTGTAGGATTTAAATGTCTCTTTTCAATTAAGTCCCAGATATTTGTTTTTGCTGTGTTGTAAAGCACACCTTTCTCTGTGATTTGATGTCAGGTCCTCTTAGGTTATATCAGCAATTGGCTCTGTAAAAACAAGCTATTTGCTGCTGCTGCTCTTCTGCTATCCTAACTCATTAGGCAAACATGGTCTCAGGGGGATTCAGCGGAATACTACAGCAGCGGTGTCTATTTACTCTGTTGTTTTCTGAGTGATTGTATTCAAATCTCTCTCTCTCTCTCTCTCCCTCTCTCTCTCTCTCTCTCTCTCTCTCTCTCTCTCAGGGTCAGACCTGCAGGTTTGCCAGCCGAAGGGCCTCACCTGCTGCTCGCGCAAAATGGAGGAGCGCTACCTTCTCACTGCTAAGCAGAACATGGAGTCCGGTCTGCAGGCCAGCAGCGCCCAGCTCAAACTGCTCATTATCCAGAACGCAGCACTCTTTCAAGGTCAGTCCCTGTGGAGCATGGCGCCAGCAGCCAGGGACCATGCATTTAAGGAGAATTCCACCAGTCTTTCAAAAATTCTTTAGAATTCTGTGGTTGTGATGTAAGTAAACTCATTCAGCATGGTATGATGTGAAATAGTTAAATGAGGAGAAACTTACCAACCCAGATTTCTTTACAGTGGTGGTGATAAGAATCAGGTGTTGCAATTTCTACAACATATAGCCATTTTACTTCCAAAACCACCAGAGAACCTACACGTCTTCAGTTTTATATGCAATGTTGATAAGGGTAATGATAATGGTATTTTGTCTTACAAAGCCCTACATGTATCCCTCTGCTGAAAGATAAAAAAAAATGTTTCTCAAAACTATCGTAAAACAATGTTTCAGGCATCAGGCAGCTTATTCATAACCATTTTATGTAATGGCTCTCTGGGAGGTAGTTTTTAAAGGCATTAAACTCTTCAGACATCTGGTTCCCATCACCACCACTGTGAAAAATTCTGACTTGGCAAATTTCTCAAGAAAGGAGAAACCACTCTCAATGACTGTTTACATCTTAACCATTTAACTATACAGAAATTTTGAAAGGTTGGTGGAATTCCCCTCTAATTTACCCACCGTCTAGCTGAGTACAGGTTCTAACTGTGTTAAGCTGCTAAAGGAGAAACAACAGCTTACCAACAGGCAGAGGAAGGCTTTTGATTGATAAATGGATCTGTCTGAGTTGTCAGTTAAACGAATTGCATTATTTGGCCTGAGTGGGTTGCCTCTGCTAATTGCTTTACGCTAACAGCGTTAGAGACAGCGGCGGTGACTGGGCCCCCGTCTCCTCGGGAAGGTGGTTCAATGCTAATTGCTTCAGCGCAGAGGCCCTGCAAGAACTCCCCAAGCAGGCCGCAAGAACCTCTAAAACATCCTGCTCTTGTCTCGTCGTTTTTTTTCCCCAGCACCATCCCATGGGGAATAGAGCGTGAGCCTTGTTTGCAATCTTTTGCACTCCTCTCTCCCCATGGCTTTTTATCCTTTTGTACTTTTTGCTAGTGCCACAGATCAAAGGGCTCCCCCTTCTCCACTCCAGCATCTCCCTTCTCGCACTCTCTCTCTCTCTCGTACCAAGCTCCCATCAGCCCCTGCTGCCCCTCCCTGAGCCAACCTGGCTTTCTCACGCCGCCTCCGAACGGTGCCGAAGCTTCGTTCCCTTTGAAGTCAACTTTGTCAAACTATCACAAAAGTTAAGAGGCTGTGTCACCAGGACTTTTCGCCGGATCCGGTGACAAGTCGCTTGCATCATGGCGCTCTCCCGAGCACGCTGCTCGCTTTTTCGGCTCCCTAGATTAGATTTAGCTATGCCGTGTCCTCTTTTCTTCGCACTGGTTGCTTGTGCACAGGCCTCACGCCCTAAACAAGCATCTCCGGCTTGATTGATTGAGGCCTGTGTGCAGGAGGCGTTGCGGAAAGCGTTTCTTTTCTCCTCATAATTGCTAATCACAGACATTTTTCAAACCTGATGAATGGTTAATCGTACTTCATTCACAGTACATGTATTTCCTCCCTTTGCTAATTCCACAGAGATGTTCATATCCAGTGCTTAGGTCTTCATAATCAGACATGAGTGCTGATAGTCTTTGATGGCCCACACTTCCACAGTGGCCTCAAGCAACGTTTATGCCTGCAATTGACCTAGTTAATTAGGAGCACCTGGAAAAAGGAGCCTCGTGCTCCAAGCTTGTGGAAGCTCAACGAGGACACGCTTTCACAGGATTTGTACCCCAGTTTTCTGCGCTTTATTTTCTTGGGCATATTTAGAACGAGGGAGTCACTGTGGCTGTGTTAAGTATGGAGAAAGGGTGCGACCTGTCACATACGCTCACTTTTATGTTTTCTGTGTATTAAAATAACCGTTAGCAGCTTTTTTTCTGACAAAAGAACATTAAGGTATTTTAAACTATGCTGGTAGTGTGAGTGACACCATGCAGCACATGTTAAAGTATAAAGGCGTATTTTTCTCTCTAGGTGAACATAAATTCACTCCTGATTAATGACTGACTGAATGATCTGTGACTGAATTTAAAGCTATCAATACAGTGAAGCACACAACTATTTTTTTTATTTCAAAATAGTAATAGTTGGTGCTCAAAAAGAGGTTTTTAAAAAAGAAAGTTTTATGTGAATCACATTATTGAATGAGTAGGCTGTGCAATATGATCATATTTCGTGGGTTGTCATTCACTGGCCTTAATTGATAAGGACTGAAATGCTACAACATTCAGCAGTGAAGTTAGTAATCCTAATCAGCGAGGTTTTATTGGACTCCATACATCATTCAGGTTGACAGACAGCTTAATTCCTGTGGCTGGGACAGAGGAGATTTAGGGTGCTGCTCTGGGCTGCGTATGGCTGCTTAGGGACAGTGCTCCATGGCTAATTCGCACCCTCTCTTTTTCATTAAAAAACAAATTAACATGTAATCCCCATATCAAACACAGTAACATAAAAGGAGAGTTGTGTCGGATTTTCCATTTTCTCTCCCTCTAAATCCACTCCCAAAAGAGTTTGTCAGGGTTCTCTGTGTGTGTGTGTGTGTTTGTGTGTGTCTGCGTGACGGTGTGTGTGTGTGTGTGTGTGTGTGTGTGTGTGTGTGTGTGTGTGTGTGTGTGTGTGTGAGTATGTATGAGAGAACAAGTGAGAGACACTCTCCAGCCGACAACCTGTGCACCTTCTTCCAAACACAGCTGGGCAACATGGAACATAATGAACATATAGACTGGAGTGGAAGTCAAAAAACAGAGACTGGATTTACATTTTCCCAAAGGAAATATAGTGCTTGAAAGGCAAGTTTAAAAGTATATGCAAAAAGAAACAAAGAAAAGAAGAAATATACTAAGAATTAATGTTGTAGTGATACAAGTGTTAAAGGTTACACAAATATTCCCATTTGAACTGTTTTGTGCCATCTAGTGTAGAAAATTCCTCTAAAATCAACATTTCTCAGCAATGAGTCATATAATGTAATAGAATCAAATGTAATGTAAAGAAAGTAGAAGGATGGAGGAAAAGGAAAGGAAAGGAAGGAGGAAAGAAGCAAAGAAAATGAAAGGGAAAAAGAGAAGGAAGGAAAGAAGGAAAGCGCTAAAGAAAACAAAGTAAGGAAAAGAAAAGAAGAAAGAAAGAAAGAAAGAAAGAAAGGAAAATAAAGAAGGAAAGGCATACCAAGGAAAGAATGAATAAAAGGGAAAACAAAACAGTGCTCACATTGCAAGCAGTGTAATTATGGGGAGCGAGCATCTCATCATGTTGGCTTTTTTAACTAACAATACTTCAGATGATCGTGTTTGATGAGTGTACTGTTCAGAAAGAAGCGCCTCTCAGAATTTATTCAATAACATTCCGTCTTGTCAAGTGTACAGAGCCCAGAGCTGAACTTAAACACAAGACACAAGAATGAGATGTAATTGTGAAGTTAGTGGTTGGGTACTGTGAAATCAGATGGGATTTTAGATATCACGGCAAAATGTTTTTGCAAATTTTAGTGCACAATTTCTGTTTATTTGCTGAGTTTAACGTGTTGGAAAAACATAAAACATAAATAATAATCCTGCATTAAAAAGTGCAGAAATGTGTTTTCTGTAGAGGGCATGTATTCAGTTTCACTTAGATCAACAAAACAAAAAGTATTTTGCATACGACTAAATCTGTACACAGTAATTTGAGATGTTAGTAGGAATCTGGCACCTTTTGAAGGGTGGGCAGCTATACAGCGCACTGTATTGTATGTATCATGTTTGGGTAAGCTTCTCTGTGAGTCCACCATAAGAAAAAGGGGAAAAGAGGAAGGAAGAGAGAAATAAAACAGCACATGCAATAGGTCAGCACTACTTTCAGTGCCTAGCTGCTGACAACAAGCATTTCTACCACATAAAAAGAAGCTGGACCCTACTGAAACCCCCCAAACAATTGTGAGTATAATGACACAGTGGAACAGACACACACACACACACACAACCACAACACCACTGTGTTCTGTGGCCAGCAGACATCTTGCTGGGAGCTGCTTGGTCAAGAAAGCTGTCCATTTTCACACTCAGTAGGATTTTAAAGCCGAAGCCATCAGTAAACAGTAAGTAAAGCAGAGATTTAGTAGACTTGGCATCTGAGTTCACTTTATATTTAAGTACCGTAGGCCATAAATAGTTATTACTGTTGTGTTCTTTGTGCAAACACTTAAGAGGACATATGTACTGAGATCCTCTATTCCCCCCCCCTCCATCTAATTTGCTAATGACAGCTGTGCCCTTTCACAAGCACTGAAGATCTAGTACCTTTTGATGAGCAACGGAACTTTACCAAAGATCTGAAACACACACACACATTTTCTAAGCCCCTTATGGGTCGTGGGGGGGGGGGAGCTGGAGCCTATCCCAGTGGTCATTGGGCGGAAGGCAGGATACACCCTGGACAGGTTGCCAGTCCATCGCAATCCATACACTTTACCAATAAATATCTGTCACCATCTTTAAATCAGTGATTAAAAAACAACTAAATATATTTTTCACTTTAGCAGGTTTTATTCTATTTTATGTTTATTTCTTGATCATTTTATTTTGCCGTTGTTTTATTGGATGCTTTTTTGTTATATATTACATTTTACATATTATTATTGTTATTTTGGCCTTACTTCTCTTTATTTCTATTTTACCAGTAGTTTTCTAAATATCCACTGTAATCCTAATGTAATGCTAAATAAATACATTTTACTGTTATTCTTGAAGTGTCTGTGTTACATGTATATTGACACTATTGGAACAAAACCTTGTATCTCCAGATTGCAACTATTCTTGAGAAGGAAAAAAAACTCTTATCTTTTAATGGAAGTTAAAGGAGAAATTATATATTTCAAGTAATTTTGGAGTGTTTTCTTCATTCCATTCATTATGAAATTTTGACCCATGTTAAGGGCAGCTAGCAATTTTAAATGTCAAAAAAATGAAAAATATAAAA